GGGGAGGGGGGAGGGGAGGGGGCTGCCCACTCATTGCTCATTCGGGCACTGGCTGCATGCTGCGCAAGCGCTGCTGCGCTCACGCGCTCACGGGCGAGCTGGAAGGAGCAGGCAGCCATAGCCAAGCTGCGCTGCTGTAGCATCCGTGAGTTGGGGAACGAGGTTGTGCGTGATACGAGAGACATACCTGGTGCTTGAAGCATACGGCATTGGCCGAGATCTGCTCGTACTTCGGGGAGCTGTTGACGTCATCAGCGGCATTGTAGATAGGCTAGATAGGATCTGCCATTTGTAGTCTGGGCGCCAAGCGCCAGATAGGATATCGACATTGGTTCTTCATTGATGATGATGATGAGACTATTTCAGCATTGTCAATTATGAGCTTTTGGTGTGCTCTTATTTGGTGAAACTCGTGATGCAATTCTGCTATTGGTTCGAGGTCACGACTATCTGGTCTCATGTGAATGATGCTGTTTGATTTCTGAAGTTCGCCATCGCTCATTTTCCTTGCAGCTGGGGAAAAAATTGACAAAATAAAAGAAAAAGTAGAGGAAGAGAAATGTTGTACATGATTTTGATAAACAAAATGCAAGTATAATATCTTTTATCATCCTTTATCTATACATATATATAGTCAAACAGAGCTGCCCGGTAAACCGTAGGCAGAGAGGGAGAAAAGGACAAGAAATGAGGGGCTGTGACAAACTGTTTCGTCGGAGTTTTGCCGACTCATCAGGAGGTTGAACCCTATTAGATATATATCATCCAACAGAACTGCCTACGGTAGTCCGTAGGCAGAGAGGGAGCAAGAAGAGGACAACAAACAAAGGGGTGTGACAAACAGTTTCGTCGGAGTTACACTGACTCATCAGGAGGCTGAACCCTATATCAATGACCCGCACAGAATGAATCTGAGATTTTTGCTTTCTCATATTTTCTGAGTATTGCAGCTTGCTGGTCCAATTTACTGAGATTTCTGTGTCCTGTCTGAGTTTGCTGTGTGCTTGCATCTGTGAAAGTTCCTGTGTGATGATTGCTATGCGGAGCAATAAGTGTGTGTTTCCTCTGTGTTTTCTGTGTTCCGGGAAGGGGTAGATTAGAAATTGGAAGGAAACCAAAGGGACGAGACTGAAATTGGGGACCAGACAGTAGTATTAGCCAATTTGGTAGACCAATGTGGTCGTCTTTGGAAAAAGCGTATGCGACCTGCTTCACAACTTTTAAGACCATATTTTCCAAAACAAAGTTGTGCCGCCGCGTGGGAGCCTTCGCTTCTTCCTTTCTGATATTTACGAAATTTTGTACGTTTTGGATATAGCATGTGTTTTGGTTGACTTTATGAATATGAGACCCACACCTTGACACCTACAAAGTAAAGGATGGAAAGGGCACACATGCAGAATCCGGGTAGTACCCGACAAGGATTTCCCAGTAGCTCAGGTAGGCCTAGAAGTAGAGTCCAGTAGGCGTAGAAGGACCCGGTAGCTTCCAAAAGGTCATGAGTAGTCAGGGCCCGAACCTAGACATCCAGTAGGTTACATTCAGGTCCTGAGGTGGACTTGCAGGCTGCAAACGATGCTCCCGCCAAAAGGCACCAGTTCCTGGTAGGCCTAATACCCCAAGTGCAGCGGGACCACAGCCGGCGTGAAGCTGTGAGGTCGACTTGCAAGAGTAAGTTAAACTCGTTCGGGGAGGTACAACGAGTCACAAGGCATCTTACCCAACAGTCATGCTGCTGCTATGCAGAGAAGGTGGTATTAGGCGGAGCTCCGGCTGAGCACTGGAGCTGGAAGGTGGAGAAGAAGACCTCCCTGGCTATGGAGTAGGAAGAGGAGGAGGGAGTAGGCCTCGGCTATGGAGCTAGAGGGTGAAGCGCCCCATGCCAGGCTATGGAGAAGGGTAAGAGAGAGGTATTGAGCTTCAGGGAGGGGAGGGGAGATACAAACCGGCATGGGAGACTCACCTAAGGCTATGGCTGACCTTCATCTTCACTCCCATGGTTGATGCTACATCGAGAAGGCCCCAGTGTGGATTCCAGTTGCTCTTGGACTTCAAACCAGAGCATGGCTATCATCGAAAGAAATGGGAGAGGCATAGGAGAGATTGCATTGTCCTTTAAACATCTATGATGAGCATGGATGTTCAAAACAGCCATCAATGTTTGATAACTAACTTCTAAATGAGATGCTGCATTGTTTTTTTTTTTTTTTAATTCGGTATGGCTGAAAGGGGGGATCTTTGAGTGCTGGCAATAAGGGGGATTACTCAGACATGATTTCTATTCATCCATTCATTTGTTGTTATATTTAATCGTTTAAACAACCACTACCTGCAGGCCTCCGAATTTCAAGTAGTAGCCTACTAGCTGAAGTGTCAGAAGGCTGTGCCCTCCGTCGATAAAATCCATCGGCGGCATTGGTGCGTTACAGGCCTTCAGATTTCGTGAAGCCTTTTCGGTGCCAGTCGTGCTGCAGGTAGTGTTGGTTTAAAAGACGAGGAGGAAGGAAGAAGAGGAGCCACTGAGAAGAAAGATATCGGTTCAACTTGCGTAATTTTTTTTTTATTATTATTTTTTTTTCGTCTTGTCCTTTCATTCTTTTCACACTGTTCCGCTCTTTACCTCTCTGCACTTCATCTTTAGAGTTTTAGCATGTCTTGCAATTTCCCGCAATTTGAGTTTTGCATTATGAATGTCGAAGCATCATAACAATACAATATATGTGCACGTTTGCGTTCTTACCCGCTGTAGGCAACATCAACACCTTGTGAGTCCACAAACAAAGGCACGCCTCCTAAGGTGCATACTGTGTCGAGGGCAAACAGCGCATCTGCAAGAGAGGGATCAACCAGAAATTTTCCAAAAAAGTTTGCAAAACAAACAAAAAAAAACACAGAACAGAAAAAATAAGGTGGCCAAGATCAGACCATAGGATGTGGCAGTCCAAGGAGGACCGGATGGAGTAAGAAATATGACACGCATCGAAAGATTCAATCAACAGTCAAATGCAGCAAGTTTTGCCCCCAGCTCTCTCTCTCTCTCTCTCTCTCTCTCTCTCTCTCTCTCTCTCTCTCTCTCTC